ATCAAATATAACAACTTTAAACAATAACAGCTCTTTCCCTTTACTCAAAACTCATAATAACACCCAATTTCAACAACACTCTTGATTCAGTTCTGTGCAAAGCATGGTGGGAACTAAAATCAACTGCACAGTTTCAGTTTTTCAACCAAACTGATTCATGTACAAATTTGAAAATGAAATTGAATGCAAATGTCAGTAAAACAAAATATTCAAGAATTGTGTTGCTAATGTAAGGGATGGTCTTAAATAGCCAAATCTGTTACCTTGATTTTGTACAGTAAAAAACTGAATAATGCATTACATGTTCTTTCTAATAAGAATTTAGTACTTTCCAGACCTGGATCACAGGGTTATGTTAGATCATGCCTCCACGCCAGAAATATCAGATCCAGCCCCGGACGCCAGCTCCTGTCAGAAAATATCTGTTTTGTTTGGTAACAGAACAACTAGTCAGCAAAATTATCTAATACCCAAAATCCGTTAACAGCAAGTCTGGTCTGATTCCCAAAACCAGTGTTTGTCTGGTACCCAAAACTCTATTAACAGTCTTCTATCAGCTAAGAAGCTGACTGAGCAAAGCCAGAGAAGAGCAGAAGCAGTAATATTTATTATAGTTATTTTATATTTATTGAATAGTCTAAGTAGTGTACTGTATGTTTCAATGCTCAAACTTCGTCTGATGAACACAAATCCAACAAGTAGTGTTATACCAAACTGCTTCACTACAACATCCCATAAACCTTGAATTTCAGCGCATTACTTTATAAAGAAAGAAGAGGCAGACAATAAATACAAGGTTTAAATTACTTCAATATAAATGGTTAATGAGAACCTATAACACCTGTCAAACTTCATCAAATGTCCGCTAATATTCCAGATGCGTGTTCTAAATGCTTGGACGATGAAGGTACACTGTATCATTGCCTCTGGGAATGTCCAAAGATACAAAACTTTTGGAAGGAGGTTATAAAATGTTTGTCAGACATGTTAATATTGCAATTCATTTGAATGCAAAACTTTGTATTCTTGGAATATATCCAATGGACGTTATGCAAACATCAAGGCAGATTAAACTTGTAGACTTTGGTCTCCTTCAAGCCAGAAGAGTTATTGCATTAGGCTGGAAGAGTATGGATGCTCCATCTATGAAAATGTGGACAAAGGAGTTATCGAACTGTATCGGACTGGAAAGGCTAACTTACATTGCTAAGGGTAGACAGAAAGACTTTGATCAGCTATGGGAGCCATACATAAATATCATGTAAAATGGAAATGTAGACCTTACTGAAAAAGACACTGTAAAACATTCTCTATAACAAATTTATTTATATATTTATTTATTTTATTATTATTTTTTTGTATTTTATTTTACTTTTAGAAATATTTACTTATTAATGCATTATCTATTCTTTTTCTGTTCTATTGACTTGTTTTATTTTTATGTAAAAATGAAAAATCTAACACTAGCATTCCCTATTCCTTTTCTATTCTTTCTATTTATTATAAAAACAAAATAAGCAAACAAACAAACAAAAACCTTGCTATGTATACTGTAAGGCGAAGCTAAAACTAAAATATGGTCACCCTAGCTTGCATTTGAGGATCCTTAGATCCTTCAGTTAGTAACGGCTAAATCAACTAAAACTGTCAACCCTGTTTCCTGGGCATAGCTATAGCATAAGCAGAATGTTAAAATCGAACAGAAATGTACTTTAAAATAATGTTCTTTTTTAAAATAGAAATGTCACCCAATAACCCTTTTGTTTGTCAAACTGCAAAACATGCTAACACCAAACTACTAGGCTACATTTGATAAAATAGCCTATCAAACTGTGTGAAACTGCATAGTTTAAATGCTCATCACACAGTGAACCGCAAGAATGCCCGTACCAAAAAGTAGTATACATCAAGTTTATTTTAGTAAGTATACTTAAGTAAAGTTCAAGTATATTTTAAGTATACTTTATGTAAGTATACAAATATCAGTGTACTAGTAGTATACTTGTAAGTGTACTATTTCAATACTCCTGAGGACTAAATTGGCCCACTTTCTAGTATATAAAAGTATACATTTAAGTATACATTAAGTATAACAGTAGTAAACTTTGAGTACACAACTAGTTTACATCAAAATGTTTAGTTTGTACTGCAACTATACTAAAAGTGAACTTATAGGTATACTGATAGTTTACTAATTAAATACTTGTAGTAGCATTTTTAGTACACTTTGAAGTATAGTCTCAGTAAACTACTAGTTTAGTAGTTTTATACTGCAAGTATACTCGTAAGTTTTCTTTAAGTGAACTTTACATCATACTTTAAGTATACTACTATGTCCCTATTTAGGTATTAATTTGTATATATTTTGTTATCTGAACATACAAAACATCAAAAGAACAGGGTATCTGCTTGTAAACAAAAACATTTTATTCTAGCTTCATGCATTCTTTTTTTAAATACTTGAATGTGGATAAGTTTCATAAATAAAAAAATAAAGAAATAAACAACATTTTGAACAAAAAGCTGAAAAAAGACTATGAATTGGATTCAGAATGATAATCAAAACGTAGATA